AGCCAGTCAGGGTGCCGGATAGCGCCGATGAAACATACAACTTTCTTCTAGTTCTTTAATGCTTCCTCCGCCCCACTATCAAGACCCCAATTCTACCTTACGAGTCTGGCTGGAACAGAGCATGTACATAGGATGGGAGCTGGAGGCACGGGGAATCCAGGGCAGATAAACCCCTCAGGTCCACTAGTGAGAGTAGTGATACCAGGAGGGTAGAGGGAAGGTGGAGGGAGAAAGGGAGAACCAATTACATGGATCTACATATAACCCCCTCCCAGGGCGACGGACAGCAGAAAGGTGGGTCAAGGGAGACATCAATCCATGTAAGACATGAAAAAATAATAATAATTTATAAATTATCAAGAGTTTATGAGAGGAGGGGAAAATAATGAAGAGCAATACCAATGGCTCAAGTAGAGAAAATTGTTTTGAAAATGGCAACAAATGTACAAGTGTGCTTGACACAATGGATGAGCCCCCAATAAAATGAATTTTTAAAATTAAGTAAGGTTGAGAGGGCCACCAGCTATTTTAAAGCCTAAACGAGAAGGTGGAGAAGGGATGGGGGATAGACCGGGACCACAGGGATGTTAAGTAAATGGATGTAAGTCGACCCAAACAGAAATCATGAAAATGTTGACACAATTCTAGACATGGAGCATCATGTCTAGAAATGCGAGATATTGCTATGTATACTTCCACCAAAAATATGATTTGTGCTCACATAGTAGCCGTCCCCACTCCCCACTCCCCACTCCCAATCTAACTTCTGTCTTCACCACCTTGCTCTCCTCCCACCCACAGCCAAGCTGCTGACATGCACCCGTACTCTCCAGCTGCCTGTGAACACTTGTGAGAATTCTAATGAACCTTGCTAGATGTCACTTTTTTGTGGGTCTGGGTAATGCAAGCAGATGGAAAATTGTGCCAAATTTAGTCTGAACACTGAGTTTCTAGAAAAGTATTTTCATACAACCTGTTGGCCTTCTAGTTGCATTTGACTCACAGCAACCCTGTCAGACAGAGCAGAACAGTCCCATAGGGCTTCCAAGGCTGTAAATCCTGAGGAAGCAAGGCGGCCTCACCTTTCTCTTGTAGAGTGGCTAATGGGTCTGCACTGCCAAGCTCTGGGCTCAAAGCTGAGCACTTTAACCACTGCATCAGGAAGACAGCATTCTATACATTTCGGTCCAGGGCAATACACATCCTGTCCAGGGGTCATTTTCTTGGGAAGCTGTGATGACCAAGTGTGGTCCCTGAGAACCATGCCAGGCAGGCCAGCTCTTCTGAGAAACAAACGCTGGTCTCTCAGCTGTGATTTGAGATGGGAGCATATGCATGGATAGTCAACTGCACTCAGCAGATGGAGCTCAAAGGCCTTCTAGCTTTTAAGTGAATAAAGCCAAGTCTTAATGTGTTTTCATCAAAGAAGAAGATTACTTACTCCAGGAGAATATTATTCATGTCCTGTGTAAAGAATTTTTTCCTTCCCTCTTCATCAAAAAGTTTGGCAGCCTAGAAAAACATAAAATTGTCAGTACAACTCTACAATAAACAATTACTTTGAAGATGAATATTGAATGAAAAACCCCAGGGAATTTTATTATCAGAATACCACAAGAGTTGTGACCAACAGCCAGACAGCCATTTGAGACCCAGACTGGATTGGATATCGTCTTGGCACCCTGCAGCTCCTGCAGCACGCGACCAGCACAGACATCTCCTCTCTCATGGTTCTGCAGGACACGCGTTCAGTACCCGCAGGCCCACAATCCCTCCAGAGGCTCTTGGGGAGAACTGGCTACTTGCCTATGGGCTCTAATGGTCACCAGCATCTCTTGGCATGTGGCTCCCTGGCTTCTACCTGCAGGACCAGCATCTGCACATCGTTCTCTGCTCTGCCATCACTGTCTCCTCTGTGTATCAAAGCTCTCTCGGTCGCCCGCTCTTCTAAGGGGGCTTTCCTGGGTTATGTAGGGCATTTAGTCCTTCTCAAGATCCTTGGTCACATATGCAAATAACTTATTTTTCTTCCTCCACATAAAGTCATACTGGTGGTTCCAGGGACTGCAATGTGGCTAACTGTGGGGGAATCATTTTTCAGACATCCACAGATACCAGTTTGAACGTCTATTAAAGTGCTATGATCTTATCAAGTGTCACCATCTTTAGAAGGATTACAGCCCCTGTGAACACACGGAAGCATCCAGTGACGCATCCAGCTCCAGTGACGAGTTACCTGGCTGCTGACTGAGCAAGGATAAGGCTCTTCCCAGATTCTGTCAAGAGCTCCCCTGGGAATCTAGCAACAGGGCCCCAGGCACAGAGGGAATTGGGAGGAGGCAGAGAGGGGTGCTCTCCAAAGGAAGCTAAAAGTGGAATGAGCAGTGACTAAAAAAGGAAGGGAATCCACTAAGCACCCATTTTCTCTTCATGATGTGCACAGCTTGGCCACCCACTTGAATGAGAAGACACACTGAGTGAAAGTAAGCACACTGGATGGCCTCCAAGTCTTTCTAAGACCCAGTGGTGGAAAATGGGACCCAGCCCCTCAGTAGTCACGACCGTGTGCACGTGCACAGACAAGGGCCCCCCAGCGGGCTGCGCCAGGGATGAGAGTGCAGGTCCACACCCTCACGGACACTGCGACTTCACAGCCCGCACTTTACACAACAACGCAGTGTTCGTCCTATTGACAGACATCCTCACACGGAGCCCGGTACTGCTACACTGTCTCTGAGTTGTTGGAGGGAAAACCACCTGCTCTCAAAGTGCACTCAAATCACAACAGGAAGTTTTGGAGAAAGCTCTCGGAGGGTAAGACTCCTCCTGACTAACCTCTGCACCCCTGGGACCCAGCTTGGATGCCTGCGGTAGGGCGGGCAATTCAAGAGGGTGAAACACACTCCTGACTAACCTCTGCGCCCCTGGGACCCAGCTTGGACGCCTGCGGTAGGGCGGGCAATTCAAGGGGGTGAAACACACTTCTACACCCTCTTGCTCTTTAAGAGCAATCTCCACATTGAATCGGCCTCCATTCCCCTCAAGTCTCTCGCACACACAAGACTCTTTACTGCTGTGTGTGGGCGACTCCGGTGTTCTGACCATCCCCGGTCACCAAGACACTAACAGAGACATCCCACTCCCCGGCACTCCCAGCGCATGGTGCCCCCAGGATGGCACTCGCTGTCAGTTGCCACTGAGTCCCACTCTCAGCCCCAAGGGGCTTGCAACTTGGTGGCCCTTTGGAAGCCAATCAATTAGCAAGTCTGCCGCATCACCTCTGGTGACACAAGCTGCCAACCTAACCTAATATGCCAACAGCTGGTGTGAAAGCCCCTAGGTGGTGAAAAAGGAACCTCTACTTTGCACCAGGTGTGCCCTGTGCCAGAAGCCCACAGCTGCTGAGGGTGGAGCAGGCAACACAGGGCCCCTGCCCTCGCTGTGCAGCACTGCCATGCAGCAGAGATGCTGGCTCATTGCAGCCACCAGGACAGCTGGAGACTAAATCTATTTGAGGAGAGCATGTAGCCAGGACACTGCCAAGCGTCACCGAGAGCTGAGCCAGGGCCAGGCAGCATGTGCAGGTGTGCAAGTGGAGAAGAAAACTGATGAAAAACGAAACTTCCAGAAAGGCAATTAAACCAGCCAAGATGCCACCCTCTGTTAGAGGGCTACCACGTGGCAAGTGCAGCAGGAAGCAGCACAGCACAGACACCACAGCAACGTAGACCTTCGCACACACTGGAGCTGAAGGGTGGGAGGAGATGGTGCCACACACGCTCCCAGTCCCAGACCCGCGAGGTTCACGACCACAGAACAAGTAAAGACAGAGGGGGAATCGACTCTTCAGTCACAACTTCACGAAAGGAATGTGAACGAAGAGACGCTGTTGAAATGCCAACAGGAACCTCTGAAGGGCCGTGGAGTTGCCCTCAGTGACCCTGAGGGCGGCAGGGCTCACCCCACAGGTACGGATCCGGGGCCAGGGCTGAAGCGCTCCTCTCATCAGATAGTTGACGCTGAGGAGTCTCTAACAGAAAGACCTTTTCAAAAAGTTCCCGACTGTGGTGAAACTTACTGGACAGCCCGCCCGACCCAGGGGGCTTCTGAGGCTGCAGCCTTTCTGGAAGCCCACGGCCTCTCTTTCTCCTGCAAAGGGGTTAGCGACTGAGTACCCCCCCCCCCCCACCCCAGGGTTCCTTAAAGATAACACAGGCGTGTTATGTAAATGGGTCACTATAATCCAGAAGAGTCCACGTTACAATGACTTTTAACAATTATTTTATAAGAATAATGTCACACAACCAGCGAGGGTTGGAAGCCTCGGAGCTCTGCCCTCTCTTAGAGGGCGAGGGGTGCAGAACCGACCATAGCTGGCCGGGCAGGGAATGTGAGATGGGGGTGGGGGGATCCTACCCTGGGTCCAAAGTACATTCTGTGAAATGTTGGTAACCACGACACACTACACACAGACACTCACACACACTCTCTCTCTCTCTGTCTCTCTACTGAAAAATGACTTGCAGAAAGGAGACAGAAAATGCAAGGTCACTTTGGCTGCTGACAAGCTCCTGAAGCCAATTCTGAAATGGCTGGACCAACAGGGTGCAGACCAAGTGCAGGACACTCCTGCAATGAAAGTATTCGCCACTCGCTTCTCTCCATCGTGCTCACAGGCCCAGTCGTTCATAAAACACTTTGGGGTTACAATAATACGCTTCTGTGTTAAGAACACTCCTAAGATCAATGCAGGAAGAGGGTGGTGGGAAAGAGTTAACTACCCGCTGCTATAAACAACCTCCTTTTTTTTGACCCGTGCACCCAGCCACCCTGGCTTCGAGGACTCCACGGCTGCTGCGAGGAGCCGTGTGAGAGGAGGCGTTTGCGTTTGTGTAGCAAATGAAAAGCACTTACACTGCGGAGGTCTTCGATCCGTTTTTCTAGCAGTGCTGGCAGACCCTCTGGGAGCATGGGCACTAGCTTGGGCAGGACCTGAGAGGTGTAGCCAGGCTGGGTGGTCCCATTCTCACCCCCCGACTCAGAAAGGGGGCTGCCGTCGGAAGCGGCATCCAGCAGTCTGTCAAAGTCAAAGTTATCCAGCATCTCTAGGGCGTTCTCGGCTTCCTGAAACAGCTCGTGTTCGTTTGTGCTAACAAAAATGGGGAGGTCCGGGTCAGCGCTGCTCAGGTGTAAGTCAGAGCCGTCGTTGCCCAGTGGGACAGCGGCAGCAGGGGGCTTGTTCAGGGCTGAGGTCTGCAAGGTCACAGGGATTTGGGGGCTGGGCTCCTCCTTCTTCAGAGCATCCTTCTCTTTCTGAAACTTCCTGATCATGGCAGCCAGAGAGAGAGAATCTTTGTAACGCTTCTTCTTTTTCTCAGATTTGTGTGAATTTAGAGCCACAACTCTATGAAGAGGAGGAGGGAAAGAGAAAGACTGGTTAGGCACGTAGGGTTCCGAGGGTGTGAGCCCTGCGTAAACAAGCCCTGGGTGGCTGGCAGAGCGAATGGCTCTCACCGGGATTTCTCCTTACAGGCTACGCCACAGTCGCGTCTTCTCAGCCATGATCTGGGTCAGGCCACCTATGAGAGGCAGCTTACTCAATGGGCATTACCACGATGAAGAAGGGAGACAAGGGGCAAAAAAGCCAGACAAGATGTAGCCACATAGGCAAGCTCTATCTGAATGCCTCTGATCCTTTGCACCTACAGAGCAAACCCCCAGAGGTATGCACTTGCCTGGCAGGCAGCCTGGCACCCCTGTTGGTTCGAGCTTCCAAGAGCCAGCCTCAAACCGCTTGCGTCACCGGGCACCCTGACCTGCCACATCCCATCTTCCTAGACCCTGTTCCATCCACCACTACCTGCAACTCTTATTTCCTTTTCCATCTCTGGGTGGAGGAAAGCAGTGCTGGGGGGCAAGTGGACAGGGACTCCCATGTCCCTACAGGAATTATAAAGAGGGGTGATCTCCGTTAGCTACGACTCCGAAGAAATCGGCTCCAAACTCCATGGCTTAGATGCTTTGATATACACAAAGTGAAAATCAGAAACGAAGTCCAGGGCTGTCAAGCCGATCCCTCCTCCGGGCCACCTGCAGGAGAGGCACCGCCATGGTTCCCAGGCGGTCCTCTTTATGGACGCAGTGCCACGTCTTCCTCCAGCACAGTGACTGGACCCTTTGGCTAGCAGCCGGTGGTCTGACCCCTGTGCCAGCCAGCAGGCTCCTTCACCAGCGAGGGAAAGACGAGATGTTGTGGGCCCTGGCTGAAGTTGGCTTGAATGAAAGGTGGTTGAAGTGGAACCAACTGGAGCAGAGCCTGACCTTCTACAGGGCAGGGAGTCTCGGCAGGTCACAGCACCCTCATACACCTGTGTCACATACCCCAGTTGTTTGGGAACTTTCTTCCTTGGCTTCTTCTCTTTATCCCCTTCCTCTTTCCGCTTCCGCTTCTTCATCTCAATCTCATCTTCTTTCATCTTGGGAACCTGCCAAACGAGCAGAGAACACACCTCCACACTGAGGCTTGACTTCCTGGCACTGGGTCCACAGCACCTTCCGGCAGGCTCATAATCTCCTCAGTCTGACAACCCAACAGCAGCCTAGCTAACAGGCCAAAAAAAAAAGTCTGCTCTGAGCACTGTGCTCTCCTATGACCTGTCTATTTGGGATCAAATGGACACAGGCCACTCCAGAGATTAGATAAGAAGCTCGGGGGCAGCAAGGCAATGTTGCTGGGACAGCAGACTCAGGAAGGAGGCTGCCCCACTGGAGGTACCTGGAGAAACAGATGAACTGGTGTGTATGTTCTCAACCACAACAAAATCAATAAAATTTAAGACAGGGGTGCAACTCCTTGGTTTCATCAGCATCCCCACTCCAGTCGTCTGGGGAAGAAGCTGACGGTCTTCACTGTCAGCAAACATTGTGGGGGTCCTGGTGCAAGCCAAGCTGACTGACGCTGACAAACCAAGGCCACTCAGCTCTCTGCCTCCCAACAGTGCCATGTGCTGGAGGCTCTGCTTCACCCAGCTCATCTCGGGAAAGGGGCAGGGCTACTAGCGGTGGTCTCTATACCAAGTCTTCACTCCTGATGGGGACTGGACACATGCACAGAAGGGCTGAAAGCACACACCCCTACGATGAGTAAATCCTTAGGGTTCCTTCTTGACAGACTTCTATTTGCAAGCAAGTGATTAATCTATCGCCCCACTAACCTGGCTCCTTCCATTCTGCCCCAGCTGTGGCCCGGGGGAAAACCCTAGAGCTTATCGTAGTCCTGGTGCCCTAGTCTCAGCTGGTGGCGAGGCCCACACTCACTTTCAGTGGCTTGTGCTTCTGGTGGTCGACAATGTCCTCCTCTTCGGTATCTGACGCTTGTCGAAACTGGAGCGTGCCGGTGTTGATGTAAAAGCCTCCATACTTTGTAGTCAGAGAAGCAGGAACTAATTCATCATACTAGGTTAAGACAGCAAAAAAAAATACAGATATAGCCTCTTGGCCTTAAATTCTGTCAGCACAATCCAAAGAAACTCATTCATCATGTCAGCACCTCCCTCGAATCCCACCTGGGAAAGCGGCATCACCACTGACTGCACCCAGCACCGCTCCCCTTAGGCATCAGCCGCAGGTGCACACGTGGGTGGCCCAAGGCCCTGTGCTTGAGGAATGATGAGCACAGAGTGACACAGCCCTACGATGGGATGCCATGCAGCCACCAAGAACAGTGATGGGACATACACCGGGGCTGCACAGAGCGTGTGCCAAGGGGGAAAGAAAAGAGGGCATGTTGAAGCCCCGTCAGACTGTAATGAGGGATGTGAAAGACATCGTAATGCTACATGAAGCAAGCAAGGACACATTTTATGATCCCATTTCCAAAAGAAGAGAACGGACACACAGACCCACACAGACACCAGTGTTGAGGGGTGCTTACTGAGGGGATGAGAGTCACTCTCTGCACTGAGATTCCTGTGTGGGGAGGGGAACGTGTCTCCGAATGTGGGTGTGACAAACACAAAGTAAACAGACCGCTAAAAGGCGCCCGAGAGGAAAGGACGTCTGTGCAAACGCCTATGACACATGTGCTTTGACAGGAATAACAAAGCGAGCACACGTCTTGTCTGTGGGCATACAGGTGCGTGTGTAGGTGCACAGAGACATGTGCATGCACCCATGTGTACTTCTGGAAGACTCAATGAGGTATTCCTCAGATGGGCGCAGGTGACTCCATGTGTATACACAGAGACGTGTACAAGCATGCACATGCTCTCCTCTTCAGTCTCCCAGCCATCCAGCGGAAGCAGATGACCCACAGCCACCCGATAGGATGGGTACTACCCAGGTGCCACAATTACAGGTACTTTACACGACATTATTTTCTGGGTGTGAGGACCTTAGTCTCATGAGACCACTCAGTCACCTAGCATCCCAAAATTGTTTCACATCCCAGTCAGGTGAGTAGCATCTGGGGTCTTACAAACTTGTGACTAGCCATCTATGACACTAGATGTGGTCTCCACTCGCTGAGCGAAGAGGAAGAAGAAAACCAAAGTCTCCAAGCAGAAACTAGTCTACAGGCACTGTAGCCCCAGGGGACCCCTGCCCCCTCTACCCCGAGAGCAGAAGAGAGAAGTGGTGCCCGACCACCACAACAGACCACCATGAGCTACAGACAGACACTGGAAGAACAGGCAAAGACAGAGAAGCCACGTTCACAAAGGGGCACTTTCTGGGCCAGCTGAGACCAGAGGATTCCCTGAGACTACCGCTCGGATATTTTTCAAACCTTGAACCGAAACCATCTGTGGTTACCTTTTAGCAAAGTAAGGAGGCACTAAAGCACCCCATTAAGAGACCAAATGTTCACTAGTTAAGCAATGATGACACTATGAGGGCCGGGAAAACAAACCACCTGAACACAGGCAAGGAGAATGCTGGCACAGGTGGGAGCAGATGGAAAACTAATGCCATGCCATGAGCCCAGACCAAACCAGAACACGTACACAGGTACAGAAAGGGAAGGGAGCTCACACACACAGAATCCAGGAACAGGAGTGGGAATAGTGATACCAGATGGGTAGGGGGAAGTGGGGGAGAGGAAGGGAGAAGAGGGGAACCAATCACAATGATCGATACATAACCATACACCCCTCTACAGGGGGGAGAACAACACAAAACATGGGGGAAGGTAGACAGTGGTTGGTGTGAGAGATGAAAATATTAACAATCTTCAGGGGGTTTGGGGGATGGGGTGGGAAGAGCTGATACCAAGGGCTCAATAGAAAGAAAATGTCTAGAAAAGAATGAAGGTAACGTATGTACAAACATGTCTGATTCAATTGATGGATGGATGGTGATACAAGTTGTACGAGCCCCCAATAAAATGATTTTAAAACAAAACAAAACAACTAATGTCATGGAATCCTTTATGTAAAAACTGTTAAAACATGAACTTGATTTGCTGTGTGAGGTCTCACTGGATACACGAAATATTATACATCCTCTCTCACAAAGAAAGTCTGTAGAATAAAAGTTAGAACGAGGGCTAAACATGCGGCTGAACCATTCGGTCGTAATCATCTACTGAGGGCATGGTAAGCATCACTGCTCCCTAGTTGCTCCCAACAACACAAGGTCCTGATGAGAACGCACACAAGGGCTAACCGTGGCTCAAAGGTAATGTCTCCTGTGCTAGCTCTTGGCTTGTAAGGGGGACTTGTGAAGCAGGGTCTGAGAGCCCCACAGAACAGAGCATGTGTGCGGTTAAACGGAGTAAAGCACGCTGCACAGGCACTACAAAAGGTCTATGAGGAGCTGGCACCCTGCGCACAGAAGGAGCACCAACTGCTTACGTCAGACCCAGAATGCGCATTACGTCCCCAACACCTGAACCTGCACCAGACTTACTACCTGACCCAGAAGGGAGCCATACATCCTCACCACCTGGATCAGAACGTTTGTCTCAGCCGATGAAGATGGGCAGAAGAAAATGTCACACAAAGTGGGGAGTGGGGACCTACTTACCCAGCAACAGGCCAATCCCTGCTGCCTGGGGCCCCTAACGGGGGCTCTTCAAATTACCTAGCTACTCTTCAAGAAAGACTTCTTTATGAGAGACCAGGAATACACATAGACTCTGAGTTACTAAAAAAAGAAAACAATGAAGCTGTTTTAAAAAAGGACTTTTACTTCTCTTAAAAAAACAAATGAGTGATAGCTAAATACTAGTTCATTTATCTATAGACCATCTTACATATGACACTTTAAGTTCTTGACTGGTTCAGGCCTATCCACACAGTCTGATTTACCTGGCACTTCACCAGAGAATAAATACAGGAGGCCTGTGCCCTTTTCCCAGTAGTCCCCACTGGACATGTCCCCATTGAAATAAAGAGCCCAATTTTTTTCACAGTGACAAATAAATATATCGATCAATATATCAAATAAATAAATATGAGCAAGCCCACTATAAATGAAGTCTGCCCAACTTGTCCAGGGTAAATGAAGCCAGCATGAAATCCACGAAGAATAAGGGCAATTTGGAAAACACTGCCACGTGCAAATTTGCAACCATCACCACCAATAATATAGGTGTAGTTACACGTGAATGTGTACGTATCTATGTGCCCTGGAAGGCACATGAGTGAGTATGCACACAGACATACCTACAGGCAAATGTTTATTCATGTCTATGTGTGCTGCAAAAACATCCATAGCCTGTATTAAACCCTACCTGCGTCATGGTTACAGGTACTGCCAAGACCTCATAACTCACGGGAAGGATTTACTGATTTTTAAGGCTTGGCCCATGGTCTCATGAGACAAGTGGTCAACTGGTCCAACAGAGTTCATAATGATGACAATGTACCATCTAGTATGGTAAGTAGTGAGTGGCTGTCTAAGATACAGCTAATGGTCTCTTTCTACCTGATGCAAAGGAGAGTCAGGGAAGCAGAGAACCGGGACGCGTGGCCCATGAGAAATGCACCTCCTCTAGCTGGACCAGAGTTCGATGGTGCATGGCTACCATTGCTGACCTTCCTGACCAGAGACATGATGGGTCACATCCTGCTTAGGGGGGAGGAAAAGGTAGAACAAAATTAAAAGTCCTAAAAAAGGCTCTGACTTACCGGACCTATGGCAACTAGAGATACCTAGTCTAGCGCCCTAATCTATAAACCCATTGAACCTGAAAGGGAAGCTACTTCCATTCAAGTAATAGACTGACTTCCCAAACAAGTACTATCACCTATGGATACTGTGCTGCTAAAACGACTCCTAAGGTCCACATCGACCCGAGGCAGAGGGGAGAAGCTAAAGAAGAGCAGAGACGCTGGGTGACCGGAAACAACACAAAAATGAGCCATCAGGAGAAAGTTGCACACTGCGGAAAACGTGGCACGGTATGGAAACTTAGCCCAGGTCACAGAGTAAGCTGCCAAAAACTGTTAAATGGGAACTAATTTTCCACATAAACTTTCACCTGAAACACAGCAAACTATTCTGCTTTTTAATAAATCATTTTACTGGGGGCTCTTACAGCTCTTATAACAACAATCCATACACCAATTGTACCAAGCACATTTGTACATAAGTTGCCATCATTTTCTAAAAATTTTCTTTCTACTTGAGCCCTTGGTATCAGCTCCTCTTTTTTCCAAAATATTTAAAAATGAAAAATAGTAATCATTGGAAAGGTAAGAAAAAAAGGGTAAGTACAAAAATTATGACTTTTTAACATGTGCCTTTGAAGGCAGCTGGCACTCTGAAACCAAGGAAGCCCAAGTCAGCCGTAGTCATAACGCAGCGAGGGAAAAGGCTGACAGTGTGGACTGCGCTCTTGGCTCTTGGTGCAGGCGGGGCCTGTCGGGGAAGGGCCAGTCCTGCCCACCTGTGCACTGGGAACGAAGGGAAAAGAACCAAACCAAAACCCAACTCGCTGCCATCAACCGACTGACTGACTGACTGACTGACCAACCGACCGACCACTCATGGTGCTTTCCGGGCCGTCACTGTTGACAGGAGCAGAAAGCCCCGTCCTCTCTCTCTCGGAGCTGCAGCTGGTTTCACTGCTGACCATGGGGATCCCAACCCAATGCACGGCCACTGCGTCCCCAGGGCACCCAAGTAAAAAGAAGTGGTCAGGATTTGGGAGATGTTGAGTTCCGAGAAAACAAATGCACCTGTGCATTCTGCTTACAGACACTGGTACCATGCTTCCTCCGAGAGCCTTTAAATAGATGCCTCCACCTGTTTCCTTTGTGCTCCTGAGGGAAGGGTGTGGTCGTGACATCATCTGGTGTCAATCTGAGGGGATTGTGAGTGAAGGGGTGGAGTCAGGCCTGTCAATCAAGATATAACCAAGGCTCTTGTGTGGGCATGGCCTTCTCCTGAGAATTCTGGGAACTCCGATTTTTCCTCCTTGGAAGCTGAGACATCTTCTCACTTTACTCACT